TTACTCGTCATCGGAGATCTCTCCAGACAGTGATGGCAACTCTGGAAGACTCAGTTCCTCTTCCTCCAGCTCTTCGGCCAAGCTCAATGAATTCAATCCTGAGCTTGTCTTCTGGTAGCGAGCCCCAGGCAATACGCTGTTGACGGACAGGAAGATGGACGCGTCGATGTGCGCAGGGGACAAGCCATTGCAGAGCTTGGTCACCAGCCGACCAGCAGCAGAGAAGATTCTCTCAGATGGCACTGACGTCTCGAGCACAGAGAGGTATCTCCTGGCGAGAGTTGAGAGACCAGGAAAGCGGTGCTCATTCTTTCTCCACCACTCCAGGGGGCTGTCATCTACATCCAGATCATCTTCCGTGAAGAACAGCTCTACTTCCCTGTCTCTGAGCCGAGTTTCAGCATCAGCATTGGTGGTGGATGGGACGTCCTTGCTTGGTTGACTGCGACCAAACAGGCGGGACAGTCCACCAGACGTCACGCATGCCTTCTTGCGAGGTGGCTCACTTGCGCTGGTCACGGCCGCACTCTCTGCAAGCAATGATTTCACGTGATCTTTTGCTGCAGATGCTTTATCGTCATCCAGAAACTGGAGGGACCGGAAACGCGGGTCAAGTGCAGCACACACTACGGGCATCGACGTCGGCAAAGGGCACGACACATTCGGGAATTTGCGGATCAGCTCCGACTTCAGCTTTGCAGCCACCGACTTGGCAGCTGTTGTCAGAGGCTTTGCATGCTCACCCTCCATGACCGAAAGGAGATGGCATGTGATGGGGAAAAGTAGTGAGAGCGTCACGTACTTCTGGCCACTGATGGTGGATGTTGCGCTCTCAAAAGGCTCCAGGATGTGGACGAGCTGCTCCGCTAGCTTCCACTGGTTGTCCTTCAGCAGCAAGTCCCGGTCAGTCTGCTTGGACGTGATGCTGCTGTCGCACAGCACTGCAGTCAACGCAACACGCAGCTTCAGGAGGCGGTCGATCATGTAATATGCGGAATTCCAGCGTGTTGGCACGTCCTGGATTACCTTCAGCGGCTGTGCATCAGCATTCAGCTGGCGCTGCTTGCTTTCCAGCGCTCCCGCAGCCAGACAGGAGTGCTTGAAATGCCCAACAAGCTTTCTACACCGGGACAGCAATTTCGCTACGACATCCAAGTCAAGGGCATGCCGAATTGCAGTCTGAAGACGGTGAGCAATGCAGACGTTACTCTCCCATCCGTTCTCTGCAGCCTGTTGTGTAATCGTAGGTGACATTTACGTTTTGTTGTTCTTTCATATTATTAGTATTTTATTATCAGAGTATAATCAATTCGTTCGTTGTTGTCAACGTGTACACGAGGTGCTGCTTGCCTTGAGTCAACAACACGGAATTCACGAGTTACGATTGTGTTTACTACGACGTTGCATGTTGTTTGTACATTTACAATCACGTACATGCAGCTTGGCAAGTTGTGTCACGATGCAATGCACACCAATTTATTTCACTACACGTATTTCTCGTAACACATCAATCCTTACTTCGTAGGTGTTTAGGTCCGGTCTTGCGTGACAGAGGTAGTTACTCTTAGTTAGCTTTCTCCATGATTGATTCTAAGAAACACGGACATTGATTCTAGCTTCGAACTGTTTCTTCTTTGTCTGCCTGTGCAATTTGTTCTCAAACAAATCCTTCGTTCAATGTGTTTATATTTTCGCGCTCTGCAGATTTGTTTACCTCGCGCTCAGCTTGGTTTCCTTTTCTATGTCAACTGCATTATTATGACGTATGACTTGTGTACGCACTTATCACGTGACCGTTTGACTGCATGCGCTATGCACGCTCTAGGCTAGTGCATTTGAGCGATCGTAGCGATCCGCTTTCCTTGCCGTTTCGTCTTCTCCGCTTCTTTACTCATTCGAGTCAGTGTCGCTGCACTAGTTTGTTTTGCAGTTTATCCACGTCGCAGTCGTTCATGGTCGCCATCTTTACATTTGATTTTGATGCGCAGCTGCATGCTGATGCAGCTGCCTTTTTCATTCTTTCGATGATCTTCTTTCCAATGTTTATACTGAATCTACTGTATGTATTCTCTCACCCAAGTTTGCAACGGTTGTCGGTTGTAGCATGCCAAGGGTTGGATGCAGGGGTGGTTAATTAAGCTAGTAGTAGTAGAAACAATTCAGTAACAAGTGGTACCGAAACCCGATCGAACAGAGCCTCAGGACCGGTCGAGTGCTCGTGTAGAACTACAGGAGGCAGTCGAGTGAATTTGAGTATTTGTAGTGTTTGTGGTGTTGGTTTGAGCTACACCAGTGCAGTGGCAGTGTAACCATGGCATCCATCAAAATGGATGGTTACTTGAGAGCGTTCAAAGGAAAAGGCGAAGACTTCCAGTTGTTTTGGAGGAAGTTTTTGGTTCTGTGCCGATTACAGAAACTGTCGACGGAAACCGACCGCATGGCATCGTTGCCATTGTTTTTGGATGGTGATGCCTTCCACCTGTTTGAGCAGTTGTCTGATACTGACAAGGCCAGTGAATCAGCAGTAAAGAAGGCCCTGGAGTCTGCTTACACCATGACCCCGGCGGATGCGTTCCGCCAATTTAAAGCGCGGACGCTCCGGGACGATGAGCCCGTGGATACCTACGTCACCGACCTGAAGCGCTTATTGGCGCTGTCCGGCCACACATGTGCCGACGACAAGGATATGGTGTTGCTCGAGCAATTGTTGGATGGCCTGTCCTTGGACTATGGACGGCAGGTGCGCATGGCGAGCACGGAGTCAGACCTGACTGTCACTAAGTGCGTCGCCAAAGTCCGTGCTCTGCGATCTACGGACGACTCCTGCCGCAAGCGTGCCAGTGTATCGGGAGCTGTTGCCGCTGCTGCTCCGGAACTTCGCCAATCCAGTGTGTTGTGCTTCAACTGCAATGAGGTGGGGCACGTCCAGCGCAACTGTCCACATCGCCGGTACCAGAAGGGCGGACGGCAGCAGAGGGGCAATGAGAAGCCACGCCCTCCGTCCAAGGAGCAGAGACCGCTTATGTGCTTCTTTTGCGATCAAGAGGGCCACATGAAGAGGGACTGTCGGTTGCGCCGCAAGTTCCTCGCCTCTTTGGCACAGTCCTCGGCAGCAGCTGCAGAGCCAGTGCAGTCTGACAGGTGCCTGTGCATGGCGAATTTGGCACGGCCGGGATTGCCAAAGGTCTTTGTTGATGTGTCCTGTGACACTGCATCGGGAGTCCGTGTGCGGTCCGTCATAGACACTGGTTCTACCCGGACGTTGGTGACGTCAGCACTTGTCGACCAGCTTGGGACTCCTGTGACGGCCCACACGGGCCAACCAGTGGTGGCGCTGGATGGCCAACCCTTGCGTATCCTGGGCAGTGCGCTGTTGAAGTTCGTCCGGGAAGATGATTGTGTCAGTATCCCCGCTGTCGCCATGGAGGTTCTCGTCGTTCCAAGTCTGTCTGTGGTCGGCACTGATGTTCTGCTTGGGTCTGACACTATTGCACAGTGTGGGGGTCTGCACCTGCGCTACGATGACGATGGCAGCTTGTGCTGCGTGACGCTCGGCCAGCATGCCGACGTGACAGCTAGTGTGGCCGACGTTCCACTGCGGCATGTCAGCTGTCAGACCGACGGGGACGACATCATCCTGACATCCGACGATGGGTCAGTATGTTGGGACGCCACGCAGCGTTGCTGGACCCTCAACTGGCAATGGCGAGATGGCAAGCCACCGCATGCACCAGTCGGCCACGGGATAGGCGAGTATTCCCGCTCCAAACTGACAGACGAAGAAGAGCGCAAGTTTGGTGCAGAGATCAAGGGCTGGATCGATGCTGGGTGGATGGTGCCTCACGATGAGGCTGTTCATGGTGCTCCGGAATGCGTCTTGCCGTTGTTGGCAGTCAGCCAGCCGCACAAGGCCAGCACACCTGTCCGTCCGTGTCTGGACTACCGGCTACTGAACGAACGACTGATCTCAAGTCCTGGTCTAGACGCCCCAGCATGTGCCGAGACGCTGCGGTCGTGGCGCGTCAAGGGCCCTGATGGTTATGTCCTGGTTGATCTGAAGAAGGCATACCTTCAAGTTCGTGTTCACCCTGATCTGCTGCGCTACCAGGTCGTGGTATGGCGAGGTCGCTCCTACGTCATGACCCGGATGGGATTCGGCCTGAACATTGCGCCGAAATTTATGGACATCATTGTGCGCTGGGTGACTCGAGAGTTTGATGACGTCGACAACTATATTGACGACGTTCGTGTACCTGTTGCCCTGACAGAGACGGTGACTGCGCGCCTGGCTAGCTATGGGCTGGAGACCAAGCCGGCGGAACCAATGCCTACCTCTCGTGTTCTCGGCTTGCAGTTGTCAACGCCGCCAGATGGCCGTACTGAGTGGCGCCGCCGTGACGGAGTCAAGACAGCGTTTGATGAGCCACTCACCAAGCGCAAGGTGTTTCAGTGGTGTGGGCGTCTCACCAGCCATTACCCCGTCGTTGGTTGGCTGCGGCCCGCGTGCAGTATGGCGAAACGTTTGGCGTGCCTAGAGAGTTGCGGCTGGGACGACACGGTGTCACCTGAGTTGCTGCAGATATGTGTTGACCTGCAGCAAAGGCTCCACAATCATGATCCAGTGCATGGTGTATGGCATGCGGATCTGACCAGTTCTGCTACTGTGTGGTGCGATGCTTCGGACCTTGCCCTCGGTGCGTCGTTGGAGATCGGGGGTGCCGTGGTTGAAGATGGCACGTGGATGCGCCAAGTCAGCGATCGTCGCCACATCAACGTGGCTGAGTTGGACGCGGCCATCAAGGGCGTCAAGCTTGCAGTGTCATGGAATGTGCAGGATTTGCTGGTCAAAACCGACTCCAAGACAGTCGCTGCCTGGTTGGACCAAGTGTTCACCAATGCCCAGCGAGTGCGGACTAAGGGGTTGAATGATGTTCTCATTCAACGGCGTCTCCAGGTCCTTGCTGATCTACTCGATGTAACTGGTTTACGTGCACGAATCGAGTGGGTGCCCAGTGCAGAGAACCGTGCCGACGTTCTCACCCGTGTTCCGGACCTGTGGAATCAGCGTGCCAAGTCGTTGTTGCAGCGTGCTGAGCAGCCGCCTGATGTTCCTGAGCCGCCGCCTGCTGCTGATCCGGATGAGTGTGTCGCCGCTGCGCCAAGTGTCCACCTGCCGTGTGCACTTCGTTTGACCGACATTACCGCAGCTCAGGCCGATGACGCTACGCTACAGTCCGTCATCCGTGGCCTTCAACATGATCAGCCACTACCCAGTGAGTACCGTAATGTTCGTACGCAGTTGTTGCTTGATGATGGTGTATTGTATCGGTCTGTCAAATCGCCTGTTGATGGCATTGTGATAGTTCCTGTTGTGCCTGCTGCGTTAGTCTCTGCTGTGGTTTCTAATGCTCATGAAGTGTCTGGTCATGGCTCTTGGGAGAAGATGTACTATATGTTGCGTCAGTGCTGCTTCTTTCCTGGTCTTGCGTCTGTGTGTCAGAGTTTTGTGTCTCAGTGTTTGCAATGCAGTGCTGCTAACCCTCGTCGTGGTCCGTCTGTTGCTTCGCGTCATGCTATTTCTGGTCGCCCATGGGGTGAGGTGGTGTTAGATGTTCTAGAGCTTGGCTCGAGTAATGGTTCCCCCTTTCATTGTGTCTTGGTGTGTGTTGACACTTTCACCAAGTGGGTTGAAATTGCTCCGCTACAGCGCCATGATGCTGCTTCTGTTGCTGCTGCTTTTGTGCGGATGTGTCAGGTCTGGGGTGCACCAGATTGTGTTCGTACGGATAATGGTACGGAATTTTGCAATGCCGTTGTGTCTTCCCTGTTTTCGGTTATGGGTGTTACTGTTCGTACTGGTGCTGTGCGTCACCCGCAATCACAAGGGTCTGCGGAGCGCATGAATCGCACTGTGCTCGGGCTGATGCGCAAGGTTTTAGATTCGTCCACTGGTGATTGGCTGTTGGACCTTGATATGCTCTTGTACTGCTACCGTAATCGCCCCCATAGTGCAACTGGTCTGTCGCCCATGCAAGCTATGGTTGGTTGGCAGCCACCTCATCTGTTAATTGCATCCGAGCCATTGCTGTACTCGGCGAGTCATTGGGTGGATACCCTGTCTGCTCGTTCAGCACGCATTCGAGATTTGGTGGATGATGCTTTGTCCCGAACAGACTTTATCGAGCCCGTCCAACCGTGCCCTTACCAGGTTGGTGATTGTGTCCTGTTGTTGCGTCCTGACCGTCACCAGAAACGTCAGTCCGCTTTCGAGGACGGTTGGGTTGTACAGTCTGTTGTTTCACCCTCCACTGTTAGTATTTCGAAGCCTGGTCGTCGAGACAAGACTGTCAATGTCGCCCTGTTGAAGTCTGTTCCCGTTCGTGAGCCTGCTGTTCCAGCTCCTGTTGTTGCTGAGTTGCCCGAGGAGGAGGAGGAATCGCTAGTCAGTCTAGATTGGCCTATTCCTGTCGTTCAGCATGGTTATGGGTTGCGCGATCGTGCTTCGATTCGCCCCCCTGTTCGCCTCTCCTTGTAAATTCACCTGGGGGAGAGGTGTTGTGTAATCGTAGGTGACATTTACGTTTTGTTGTTCTTTCATATTATTAGTATTTTATTATCAGAGTATAATCAATTCGTTCGTTGTTGTCAACGTGTACACGAGGTGCTGCTTGCCTTGAGTCAACAACACGGAATTCACGAGTTACGATTGTGTTTACTACGACGTTGCATGTTGTTTGTACATTTACAATCACGTACATGCAGCTTGGCAAGTTGTGTCACGATGCAATGCACACCAATTTATTTCACTACACGTATTTCTCGTAACACATCAATCCTTACTTCGTAGGTGTTTAGGTCCGGTCTTGCGTGACAGAGGTAGTTACTCTTAGTTAGCTTTCTCCATGATTGATTCTAAGAAACACGGACATTGATTCTAGCTTCGAACTGTTTCTTCTTTGTCTGCCTGTGCAATTTGTTCTCAAACAAATCCTTCGTTCAATGTGTTTATATTTTCGCGCTCTGCAGATTTGTTTACCTCGCGCTCAGCTTGGTTTCCTTTTCTATGTCAACTGCATTATTATGACGTATGACTTGTGTACGCACTTATCACGTGACCGTTTGACTGCATGCGCTATGCACGCTCTAGGCTAGTGCATTTGAGCGATCGTAGCGATCCGCTTTCCTTGCCGTTTCGTCTTCTCCGCTTCTTTACTCATTCGAGTCAGTGTCGCTGCACTAGTTTGTTTTGCAGTTTATCCACGTCGCAGTCGTTCATGGTCGCCATCTTTACATTTGATTTTGATGCGCAGCTGCATGCTGATGCAGCTGCCTTTTTCATTCTTTCGATGATCTTCTTTCCAATGTTTATACTGAATCTACTGTATGTATTCTCTCACCCAAGTTTGCAACGGTTGTCGGTTGTAGCATGCCAAGGGTTGGATGCAGGGGTGGTTAATTAAGCTAGTAGTAGTAGAAACAATTCAGTAACAAGCCAGGATACGACTCGCAGCCACCATATTCCGGGCTTCATCATGGCTGAGGGCAACTAGCTGCTCCTCCTTGATGCCGAATCTGCGTACCACATCTTGCGTACAAAGAGCCAGCTTCTCCGCAGTGTGGTTACCACTGAATATTGCTGTTTCAAGCACACCATTCACCAACGTCCATTCGCCGTTGACGAAGTGAACAGTGTGCGTGACAAATGACTGCGTCGCTGTGGACGTCCAGCCATCAGTTGTCAAAGAAACGCCCGCCATGCCGTCGGACCGAATTAACGCCTTCAACTCGGACTTGCAGAGCGAATGCCGCTTGTCGAGGAGCTTGGCGAGATGCGTCCGCGACGGCATCTTGTATTCGGGCTCCAGCAACTTCAGGAGTTCGACAAACTCACCGTCGGCTACGACAGATAGTGGTCGCAGTGAACCAACAGCCCAGTCGAGGATGTGTTCTGTGATCACACCAGCACGACGCGAATCACAGGTCCTGGCAGAGCTGGATGGAAAAAACAACGAGACCGACTTCGTTCCGCAAGAGGTAGTTGCTGACACCTCTGGTGTCTTACCTCCAGCAATAAGAGCATGCTGCTCCTTATGATGCGTCTTCAAGTGCGAGAGCAAGTTCGTTGTGCCACTTGTTCGCACGAGCGTTTGACTGCACAAATTACACTTTACCGATCCACCCACCTCTACGAAATATGCCCATACTGGCGACCGTTTTGTTCTAGAGACTTTTGCCGACATCTCTTCTGCAGCTAGCTCGCGTAACAAAAATGAACTCAGACCTTGTCCTGCCCAAAGACAGGAAATACAACCTTGGGACACACTGTGACTTTCTTCCCCACAACAAAAAACTACAGTAACAGTTCGCCACAGCCACTTTCAAGTTCAAGTACCGGTACGCATCAGCAGCTGCAACTGACTACAGTCCAAACTCCAAACTGTCATAGCCTGCAATGTGTTGGTTTCCTTACTTGCTAGACTGATTTTATATGATTCTGGACTGATTTGAATCATATTATCTTCCTTATTGGCCATGGGCCATCGTGGAAATAAAGAATAATAATAATAGCCGAGCGCGGCCGGCTGGACAGGGCTAGCCTAGTAGTTGTGTACATGATGTAGTCAGCGCGCTCGCTGGATCAGTGTACGCACTAACTACCTGCCTACCGTGTAGTACTGGACATGTGCCATGCCAGTGCAGTGCACAGCGCGGTTTGGACCCCGTACACACAGACTCAGTGCACACAGTAGTACAGTGCACGCAGCACTCACGGCACTGTTACCATGGTTACTCGCGTTCTGGAACCTCACAGACATGCATATCTACATAGTTCAGTAGTATCGTTATTATCGTTAGTGACAGCTAACGGTAATCGATAATAATTTCCTTAGCGATTAGCAAACGGTTAATCGATCATATCGTTTCAGCCCTAAAAATTTCAAGTTGATCTGCGGTGGTAAAATGTGCCTAACCACCTATTTAATAATGGCATATCAATTGAGCGATATAGAGCAAATTTATGCACACAGTTTGTAACGTTCTTTGTATATCTTCATTCTTGCTAGTTAGGCAGTTCAAATGTATAGTGAACTATGCCCTCAGCTTCATCCAGTGACGCCTGCGCGCCGTCCACTAAATCTTGGTAGTACTGCCGCTCCTCTTGTGCTAGTGATATGTGCGAACGCAGGGCCTGGACACTACATTCCGTCTCTTCCTCTGTACGGGCGACACGAATTTTGTCCCGCAGATTGTCACACAGTGCGCATACGTCTGTCCTTGGCTTCACCACTTTGATGTGTGCTGCCTGTCTCCTCCAAATGTGGCAAAATGACCTCTAATGAACAGGCGAATACTGTGTGACAGTCTTGGTATAGATGTTGTATGCAGACTTCTTGTTCTTGGATGCTGGTAAGTATACTGGAGGGTCCTCAGCACGACCTCGCTCCGCTGCAGGTTGAGGTAGACCGTACATGTTAGCATATGACTAAATAAAACTGTACTATATCCTGCTCTATGTCTGCTGAAATGGCCAAGTGCTCTGGTGTTCTCCCAGTCAAGCCATGGCGTACCAGTTGAACGACTCCTTTGTTTGCCTTTTTTTGAAGGCGCTTCATTACATGACTTCCACCAGCATGAACTGCCATGAACACGTCTTTGCACAAATCGTAACCACGTACATGATAGCGGAAATAGAAAGGTCGATCACCGCCGCCAGTCATCGACTTTCGCATGCTTCCAGTCAGTGCGCCTAGAACAAACTGCTTGAAGTTCTTTTTCGATTCTCCCAGTTTAGAGACTTCAAATATATAGTCCTCGAGCTGCTGCTCTGGGATGACATTCCAATGATTCTTCGACTTGCATCCACAGCCTCTCTCAATCCCATCGCGTATGTCTGAAGACAGGAGACCACGCTTCACCTGCTCTGTCGACGTCGTCGGTGGCTCAGGTACGGGGGCATCTGGTTCGTCATCCGATTCCGAGTAGTCGGTGTCACTCTCCGCGTTTTAAATTTCCGAGCTGTCGGGGCTTGGCGTTTTCGACACAACACTAGCAGTACTCGAGCTTGCTGTGACTCCATATGTACATATGTCTTCTTCTTAGGTGGCATATCATCGCCGTCGCTGTCAGCATCGGTGTCGGAATATCGCTCGCGGACGACTCGCGGGTGCCAGCGCTGAATCCGTAAAATTCTCGTCGTCCGATTCAAGCGCCTTCGCATCAGTGACTAGTCGACTCCACACAGAATCGAGCTGCGTCGTCTACTAGATGTAGCCATGATCAATCACAGTAAGTGGAGCCTCATGAGTTACTCGACAATCGCTCGAGCTCGGAATCCTTCCCCGAACACCAAACAAGAGGACGACAGCTCTTGAGTCTTGTCAAAACAAAAGTCACGAGTTCTGCGCTTCACGTAACTTTGAGTCGCGTGACTTTGAAACGTCATAACTTGATTTTGATATCAAACGTCGTATGGCGGTTTCTATAATCCCTGGCTCAAGTACTACCTCTCAAAATTCTCACCATTAGCCGTCACATAACCTTTTCACTGCTTGCAGTCGCACGTGAGGTGCTGCTCATAATTGCCCCAATGTTCTTCTTCTTGCCTCCCTCAGAAGAACAGGTGGTTGCATGAGCCTAGGCCTATAAAAGTGTATTCTTTTTTTGCGCCTATTTTTGCACCCCATCAACCAACTCACGCGATCATTGTCATATCTACACTATCTGCCCGGATCATCCATTCGCGCTATGATCCAAGCTTGCAGCCTATATCAATCTTATCTTCTGAAAATTGTAGTCAAGTTCCTGTCTGATGATCGGTTAAAACCGTGAAACTCAGAGTTACAGAAGAAACACTTTTGATCCTTCTCAAGTGTGTGTATGTAATGACCGTCATGCAGTTAGACCATGCGTGCTCTTCCCTGCCTGCTTCACGAACCCACTGGCCCCGGAGACTGCCGATCTTGTGACGCATCACGATCGCGGCTCCGAGGACTCCGCACCATTCACGCACCGTATCCGCAGGACGCCCTTCTTGAGCTTCAGTTTTCCAGCCAGGTTGTCGCCTGAAAGTCGACCTCAAGGGCGGTTATTTATTTCGATCAACTTCTCGACGATCTCTACTGTGATCTTGATTCGTCGGCTGCCACATCGTGAACAACTGCGAGAGAGATCAGCAAACTGGACGGAGCGATGCTGGTGCTTTCTGCACGAGTTTCTGGATGACGCAATTGCTGAAATTTTGCCAAGGAAACAGCGACTGCAGCGATTTCAATCCGCCAGGAGGCACTCGAGAACGATTGCCCAGGAGTTTCTGGTACTCCGTGACAATTCCCCATCGCAGTGAGGTGTTGATTGCAGCACCAGGCCTTCTGTGTGTTGCGCGAGAAGCAACAGGAGTCCTCTAATGACAAAATTTGGACCCAAAATGCTCGAGTTGACTAGGATCCTGAGGCGCTGCCTCCTTTGGAGTTGGAGCCATTTATTCTTCAACATCACAAATCGACAACTGAAGGATAGTGTTAGGTAGCTGGATAGTTTATTCTGTCTTGATATTATTTGAATTTGTTTGGTTGGCGTTCGAAGCGAAACGCACATTTTAATAAGTCGGATCAAGTATTACCTGCACTGGGGGCAGGGGTAACTGCAGTTGGATCCCTGGACGGATACCCTGAAGCCGTCAATCCTTTTTCTGCACCTTGTCCTCACCCACTTACTGAGGTGTGGTGAGCCCATAAGTGCGATCATTTTCAAGTCCACCCAGAGTTTTTGGGATTTCAGGGGGTGTCGGCCATTGGGCGGTTTAATGGCCAATTGAGTCATCTTTCCAAGATTCCTTTTGAGTCTCTCTCCCCTCCCTCAGAGAGACCCATGTGACCAGTTTTGGCAGTGAGCAACAAGTGCAAGTACAAGTGTGTGTGTGTGTGTGTGTGTGTGTGTGCATGGGAGGGTATGCGTGCTCATTCTTGTGTATGTGTGTGTGTTTGTGGTTCGCTTCTGTTGAATAGCTGTATCCCCAGAGTTGCAAGGTTATTTCTACTGCGCGTATGGTTCTGTAGTCATTAGAGCAACAGAGGATAGATACCAACATAAATACTTGAAGGGTGTATGCAAAAAGCATCATGTGAAACCTCTTCGAAAGATTATGGTTCATGAAACTCCTTGTGACGGATTTAGAAGGAGATCGCTGCCCTCCTGGACAAGCACTCGTCATGGCGTTGGTGTTTACTACACAACAGAAGGTTATGGCATGTATTCGACTGATTTGTTACATTTGGCTTGCGAAATACGTAAGTTGTTTGCTGCGGGTTGCATGCATTGCTGTCTGTATGATTACATTGCTGTCTCTATTCTTGCCTTGCTGTCTCTATTCTTGTCTTGTACTCTCTATGCTTGCTTTGCTGTCTCTATGCTAGTCACGGCAGATGTCACTCTAAAACCATGTTCGCAGATTTCAATGAGGGAGTTCCGAATCCTTCTTGGGATGGAGCGACAAGGAAACACGTTCGAAATGGCAAACAGCCTCGTGGCAGTCTGTAGAACATTGTTACGAGCAAGGCGAGCGAAATGGATGAGACATGACGACTTTTGTCGGAATACTTGAGTTGCAACTAAGACGCTGGTCTGTGGTGCTGGCATTTTGACTTTCACGGTGGCAAGTATTCCTCTTGGTAACAGGTTTCCAGGAAGATTAAGATCGTAAAAATTGTCAAAAGTAGACCAAAGTTGTGACTGGGAGAATATGTATATTGCTACATTAAAGTCACTTTTGCCTCAACGGTCACACCAACTATTGCTGGTGGGGTATGCCCCACATCAGCGAAACCCTTAACTGCGTGGCTCATTCCAACGCGCTCACGTTCGCGAACCCCAACCTCCGCCACACTCACATGGAACAATCTCATTTGAGCGCAGGCTCATTCTAGCATGATCTCTATGTAAAGCACACAAAGTAACGAAACTCATTTCGACGCAATTCAAAATTAATACAGATTTTCACATTTCAATGCATTAAATTATGTCCAACACCAGAAAGGAATTTCCTTGGCGTAACGTCGCCTTCATTGAGCCGGCGTTGTACGGTTTCAATGTGGGCGTTCAATTCCTTATATTTGCGAAGGACTCGATTGGGTTGCTGGCATGCTGCTATTTGTTGGAGCAACGTTTGCGTCGTGGCCTGCTCCTTTTGCAGCGCCTCTATGAGACGCCACAAATTTGGATGAAACTGGCCGACAACTGCCGCGGATCGATTGTGCCATCCCTCGACATGATTGTTTGTCTTTGTCCCTAGATGTCGCACATTCCATCGCTCAAGAGGTTGTCCTTCAATCCAAGTATGGAGAAAGTAGTCAAACTCCTGCGCGAGCTGTGGCTTCTGGGCTTGTTGTTCCTCTCGGAGTGCAAGATACTCAGGCTGGACACGATCAGTTGGGAGGAACTCAAGAGCAGCTAACGAGCGGATAAGCTTTCGGACAATTTGGTCAGTCTGATAGAGCTGCTGGTGACCAAGTGATTGCACCTGTTTTCGTGAGATCCTAGTGCCCCGTGGCACAACCCTCGTCACAGACACAAGCTCCTAATTCTCTTGTTGGTTAGAAGATGTTCTTTATTGATCTGTCCCTGTTCTCGGGAGTTGTGTGATTATAGGAAAAATAGTGTGCAAAGTGAGTCGGACATGTATGGAAAAGTGCTGTATCGTGCTCTTTACAGTGGGTGCCCAATCGGGCAAAGCACAAACGAAAAGGGTGCCGCGAGTCATGCAGCAACATTCTCCCCCCCTGGTTACGAACCGTGGGAGAGTTAACATAAACATGCAAAAAGAACGGAAGAAAAGCGGAGAAGACTGTATTAAACCTAGCAACCATCGTGTTATTCGAGTAGAAATAAGGGTGGATGGTCCATGGACGCACAAAACAAGAAAAAACAGCGCAGCTAGCTGCAGCTCAGAAGTACGGGAGGCATGACAGCTCTACGACCGCACGTCCAGTACACAAAATTTCGCGACGGGTCGGCGAAAAAAGGTACCTGATGCGGTCTTGACGTCGACAACACGGACAACACCATCGCGGCCTGGATGGACAGCTGAAACGACACCTTTGGGCCAGGAACCCCGTGGTGCGTTGTCATCCGCGATAATGACAATGTCGTTTAAGACGAGTTGCTTCGTTTGGCGGTTCCACTTTGTGCGGCGAGCGAGAGTTGGAAGGTACTCGCGAACCCAACGGCGCCAGAACATATCTGCAAGGGCTTGCGCAATGCGCCATTGGCGCCGCAGCGAGACATCTCCTGCCTGCACGATTCCTTGAAGAATGGCGCACGAGGAACTGATCAGGAAGTGGTTTGGGGTCACGTCAGGCGAAATTCGAATGCACTGACTGTGGACAGTTGTGACTTTTTCAGCTCCGTAGTGTTTGACAGCCCAGCCGGCAACAGGCCGGTCTGGAAGTAGGACAGTAGTATTAGTGTGAATAGTGGCAGTGTAGGGTAGCATAGGGTAGTAGGGTAGCGTAGTGTAGGGGTGTAAGCAGTCAAAATCAGGGAGAACCTCTTCGCCATGGGCGAGCTCGCAGGAGAGCCTGCGATGAAACTGCTCTGCTCCCTCCCGGGCATAGAGCAGACTCTGCTCAGCGTGCTGCAGACCCTGACGTCTCATATCAGCGAGTCGAGGGATCGTGAGGGTCGTCTCCATCAGCGTGTGGACGATCTCTCCACGCATCTCCTAGCCCTACGTGAGGAATTTTGTTCACTGCAGAAATCCGCCATTGTTGTTCCCGACAAGGCCCCTGCACGATCTACTCAGCACCAAGTCCAAGGCGACAAATCTCGTACCCGTACGAAACCTCGTAACCGTCCTCCCCAGCAGGGCCAGCCTGACCCAGCTGCAGCAGCAAACCAGCTCGACCCAGCCGATGCAGATGCTGGACAACAGTCAGGGCAGATCGACGTGGCCTCTGGCTCTGCACAGCACGAAACCCGTACCCGTACGGACGACCCCGGCTTTGTCGATCCTGAGCCTGTGCAATCAGACTGCGAGAAGAGCCACCCTATCATGGCCGTCATCAAGGATGACAGTTGGAAATTAGTTGCGGCGGGCCCGCCAAGAAAGAAGCGATCTGTGTTCTTTGTGGGCAACTTGAGCCACGACTGCACAGTGGACAGTCTCACTGAGTTTGTACACCGTAGGTCGGAAAGCGTAGGGACGCCTGTCAAAGCCCACCAATGCAGCCTACATACAGCCGGAAACGGGCAAGTGTCAGCCAGGATATCGGTTGATGCCACCTCCAAGCTGACAGTGACGTCCGCCAATTTCTGGCCAAGGCCACTCTACTGCAGGCCGTGGAGATTCCACTCCTCCACAAATGCGAATGCAGCCAACAGCACCAGCAGCAGCAAGAGCAGCCGCCACAACAAGAACAACAACAGCACCAGCAGCAGCACCAGCAGTCGCCGCAGCAGCACCAGTAGTCACCGCAGCAGCACCAGCAGTCGCCGCAGCAGCAGCACCAGTAGTCACCGCAGCAGCACCAGCAGTCGCCGCAGCAGCAGCACCAGTAGTCACCGCAGCAGCACCAGCAGTCGCCGCAGCAGCAGTAGCGACAGTAGCACCAACCAGCTGGAAGCACAGCAGCATGATCAAGAGCAACAGCAACTTGGGATTGCCGCCACGATAAATGACTTCCTGAGCGCGAGCCGTGGCCTGTCCGCTGCCGCTGCCGGCACACCTGTAACCACGCCACACAGCCACAAACGTTCTTCTGCCGAGCGGTCACCTGATTCGCTGTCGCATGATGCGAAGCGTCCTGCCCAGCCTGGTGCTCAGCCACCCCGGCAGGATAACCAATCCTCACAATGATGGCTCCAACACGTGCACGGCAACCACCTAGAATGCTCCGCCTCATGCTGACAAATGCTTTCGGTATCTTGTCAAAACTTGGGGAGTTCCAAGCTTCTCTCAATGCCCACCACCCAGACATTGTCATCGTCACGGAGACAAAAGTCACGGAGGACAAGGCCACGCCTGCTGACCTCACATTCCCTGGATACTTCCCACCAGTTCGAAGGGACCGTACGGCCCAGGGGGGCGGTGTTGCTATCTGGATTCGGGCCGACCTGGCTTTCACAGAACTAGAATGTATTGATACTGGTGGAAATGAAATCCTGTGGGTTCGCCTCAAGACAGCAGCTGGCCCATCCATTGGAGTATGTGCTGTGTATCGCTCAGGTTCATCCGCTGATGGAGACATCTCTGCCCTAAACAGCATCAGCTCTGGCATAGATGATGCTAGGCAATGCTGCCAGAATATCATCGTTGCAGGTGACCTAAATGTACACAACCGGGAATGGCTAGGCAGCAGTAGAACTTCCCCTGCTGGTGAAGCTGCTGAAGATCTGTGTTACCACCATTGCCTCGATCAGCATGTCCATGAGCCAACACGTGGCAATAATATCCTCGACCTCATAATGTCAGATATCCCTGGAAGCGTCATCTCAACTCTCCATCCACCTCTAGGGAAATCTGACCACGCAGTTGTGGTAACTGACTTTGAAGTTGCCCCCTCCTGTGACCGTCCCAGTAAGCGAACCGTGTGGCGCTACCAGCATGCTGACTGGCCTCGGCTACGGGCTTTCTTTCGGTCCACAAACTGGGTGTTGACTGATGACAACAGCATTGACGTCTCTTGTGTGAAACTCACACAGAAGATCAAAGAGGGCATGCAGATATTCATCCCATCCAAAACCCTGAAGCTACGCCAGGGAGACCCAGCCTGGTGGTCACCTGAGTGCCAGGAAGCTGTTGACAGGAAGCAACGTGCCTGGCGACGTCACCGATCTTCGCCCAACAATGCACACCTGCGGCTGGCCTACTCTATGGAACAGGTGAAGCAACAAACTGTCTGCACAGAGCCAAGCAAGCGCACACTACCAGTATCCGCCGAAAGATAACAGAAGGTGCCCTTTCCAGCCGACAATGGTGGACAACCGTCAAGCGAGCAGGTGGGCAAGGACACCGCTCTGCAGACATACCTGTTCTGCGTGCGTCGAACGGAACTGAGCACACCACCTGCAGCGAAAAGGCCGAAGCATTCGGGCAGTATTTCTCCGCAAAGTGCAGTCTTTGTGACAACGACTTGCAAGCCAACAGCCTCCCTCCAGTCCGCCCCCGATCTCAAGCCCAACTCCGCAATGTCCACTTTCGGCCAAGCACGGTTGAGCGGAAGCTGAGGCAACTCCACCCCGCCAAAGCCACGGGTCCAGATGGCATCCCCGGGCGTGTACTCCGGCAATGCAGCAAAGAGCTGGCTGCACCAGTGTCGCGGCTCTTTTCGCAGGCCTTCCACCAAGGTCGGCAACCTACAATGTGGAAGACGGCAATGGTTGTGCCGGTGCACAAGAAAAAATCCAAGTCTGATGTTAAGAACTACCGCCCGATCTCCCTCCTCTCTATTCTGTCAAAAGTCATGGAGGCCATTATTAACCACTCAATCCGACAGTTCCTGGAGGCACACAACATCTTATCGAAAAGTCAGTATGGCTTCCGCAGCCAACTCGGCACCCAGGACATACTCACGCTGCTCAACTACCAATGGAGTCGCGTTGCAGCCAGAGGTGGTGTAGTTCGAGTCATTGCAGTTGATGTGGCTGGCGCATTCGACCGCGTCTCTCATGTAGGCGTTTTGCACAAGGCACAATGCTATGGTGTAACTGGTCCACTTCTCGCTTGGCTGAGGGATTACCTGACTGATCGTCACTTGAGGGTTGCAGTTGGAGGTGAACTTTCCAGTCCGTACCCGACCAAAGCTGGCGTGCCGCAGGGCAGTATCCTTGGCCCCACCCTGTTCATCCTCTACACCAATGATGGCGAGGACCACCTCCCACCAGGTATGGAGCTAGCAGCCTACGCTGACGACACCACTCTCTTCCACTGCCTCACATCAAGAGCTGACATTGACTGTGGCTCCGAGCTCCTCCAGCAGGGCATTGATGCGTTTTCCCGTTGGGGACATAAGTGGAGGATCAAATTTGAGCCCTCCAAGACGCAGGCTATGTCTATAGGCCACCATCGCCAGCCCTGGGAGCTCCCTCGAGCAACATTTGACGGCACACCGGTCAGTGAAGAGAGTCGGCTGAAACTCCTGGGAGTCACCTTTGACGACACCCTGAGCTACTCTTTCCACCTCCGCTCCCTAGCTTCCCGTGCTAACCAGCGGATTGGCTTCCTGAAGCGGGCGTCTCCCATTCTGGACGCCGAGAGCCGCCAACGCGTCTACAACGGCTTTGTGCGACCCACACTCGAGTATTGCCCCTTAGTGTGGATGGGCTCACCCTCGTCCCATCTTAAGAAGCTGGACCAGATCCAGCGAAGGGCCCTCCACATCATCGGAGCAGGTACTTGGCTCCCTAGCCTGGCACTCCGTCGCCTGGTAGCTGCACTTGCCTATACCTACAAGCTCTGCTATCTAGATGCATCCAGCCCTCTGAAGCAGATGCTGCCTAAACCAGCCACTCACCGTGCCCCCGAGACAAGACCTACCCGTCAGTCTCTCCAGCTGCAGGATTCCCATCCATACCAGATGACAACTGGCCTGCCTGCCAACACCCGGAATAGCTGTCTCCAAGGATTCCCTGCTTGCACCGTTGCAACATGGAATGCCCTGCCACCAGACCTGTTCCACCACCCACCCGCCCAGCCTCACATGCAAAGCTTTAAGAAAAAGGTGTACCGTCACCTTCTTGCTCAGGACTGGCTCTCTGCTACTGATGCACTTTGAATCTGCTCGCCAACGCTTTCCCTGTTCTTATTAGTGTTCAACTGCTTACCTTATAACCCTGCTGTCATCATCACCAATATTCTGATTCTCATGCACATATCCCAGAACCTGCTATCCTTCGCAGTCCCCATCACCAAGAGCACTGTGCTCTTCTATCTCCCAGCTCTCTCTCTCTCTCTCTCTCTCTCTCTCTCTCTCTCTCTCTCTCTCTCTCTCTCTCTCTCTCTCTCTCTCTCTCTCTCTCTCTCGCCCTCGCTCTCTCGCTCTCTCTCTCTCTCTCTCTCTCTCTCTCTCTCTCTCTCTCTCTCTCTCTCTCTCTCTCTCTCTCTCTCTCTCTCTCTCTCTCTCTCTCTCTCTCTCTCTCTCTCTCTCTCTCTCTCTCTCTCTCTCTCTCTCTCTCTCTCTCTCTCTCTCTCTCTCTCTCTCTCTCTCTCTCTCTCTCTCTCTCTCTCTCTCTCGCTCCCAGCTCTCTCTCTCTCTCTCTCTCTCTCTCTCTCTCTATCTCTCTCTCTCTCTCTCTCTCTCTCTCTCTCTCTCTCTCTCTCTCTCTCTCTCTCTCCCCCCTCGCTCTCTCGCTCTCTCGCTCTCTCTCGCTCTCTCTCGCTCTCTCTCGCTCTCTCTCGCTCTCTCTCTCTCTCTCTCTCTCTCTCTCTCTCTCTCTCTCTCTCTCTCTCTCTCTCTCTCTCTCTCTCTCTCTCTCTCTCTCTCTCTCTCTCTCTCTCTCTCTCTCTCTCTCTCTCTCTCTCTCTCTCTCTCTCTCTCTCTCTCTCTCTCTCTCTCTCTCTCTCTCTCTCTCTCTCTCTCTCTCTCTCTCTCTCTCTCTCTCTCTCTCTCTCTCTCTCTCTCTCTCTCTCTCTCTCTCTCTCTCTCTCTCTCTCTCTCTCTCTCTCTCTCTCTCTCTCTCTCTCTCTCTCTCTCTCTCTCTCTCTCTCTCTCTCTCTCTATCTCTCTATCTCTATCTCTCTCTCTCTCTCTCTCTCTCTCTCTCTCTCTCTCTCTCTCTCTCTCTCTCTCTCTCTCTCTCTCTCTCTCTCTCTCTCTCTCTCTCTCTCTCTCTCTCTCTCTCTCTCTCTCTCTCTCTCTCTCTCTCTCTCTCTCTCTCTCTCTCTCTCTCTCTCTCTCTCTCTCTCTCTCTCTCTCTCTCTCTCTCTCTCTCTCTCTCTCTCTCTCTCTCTCTCTCCCTCTCTCTCTCTCTTTCTTTCTTCTCTTCTTCTTCCCCCATCTCCCGATAATTATTAGCCCCCGTTTTCTTTCGACGCGTTTGCTGTGCAGTGAAGCCGAGACCCTAGGTCGGTGGAGCACATCAGACCCCGTCACCACGTCCACGATTCATGCCTGCGATGCTGCACCGCTGCTTTGCATGTCATGATTGGAAGCTGTGGCCCTAGTAAAAAAAAAAAAAAAAAAAAAAAAAAAAATAGCACGTCATAGTACATTTGAGATCAGCGGGAAGAAGATGACGACGTCCACTAATTTAGTATCTGTGCACACGAATCTGCTATGTGTGTGACTCTGTGTGTCAGCTATGATCATCTTCTGTGGTTCCATGCCTAGCCTGTACGTCTGAACCATCCTGCAAAGTTTGAATGACGTAGGTTGAGCGATCGCTCCGCGAAACATACTTTTTGAAATTCTCTTCATAGTATATCTTCCACCATTGAAATTTCGAATTTCTTAAAAAAAAGTGCTGAGAGGGGTGGCTTGCAACCTCGATATGGCTTGTTCCAGGCATGCTTTGGAGCCATCTTCTGTTGAAGTAGTGGCGGGGATCTGCCCTGCAACTGCTACAACAAAAAATGATTCGATCTGAGAAAGGGTGAGTCCGCGAATCTCAGTTGAATATTGAGTATTTCAAGCCTTTTCACGACGAAGATGGAGTTCTTTTTGGAGATGGACGTCGCGGCAAAGGACATGGTGTCCGACTTCTGGCGTCAGGTGAAGCCAGGGATCATTTGTCCAGTCAGGTCGGCAGCCTAACCGTCGGTAAGCTTGTGTTTGGATCCCGTTCTGCTCGATGTGGTAGATCACAAACAATTTGATATCGCACAAATTGATCTCAGCATCGTGCGTACGGTATTTTATATTCAGAAAATCCCAAAGTGGCTCCGTGTGGCCGTCCTATGCCACGAGAAACTCCAATCAGGCTCCGACTAGCTATGTTCTCTGCCTTCATGATTGAATGTCCACTTCGTTTGAACAACGAACACAACAATCGAGGACGGCTTTGCAATGAAAAATACAGCTATACTGGAGCTGGAAAAAAGAAGAAAAAAACGTGCTCAGGATGAGACTCGAGTACACGCATACTCTCCCAGCAGGTGAAACGCAAATTTGTGTGAAAAATGCGTGTCGCCGACTGACCAGTAATTTCGCCTGACGAGGTCTCGTCGTCGGCGGCATCCATACTGACATGTATGAGAGGTCGACTGTTCACGAGTGCCTCTGCTTCTGCCAGTGCGGTCAGGAGGGTCTCCTCCTTGGGATGGCGCTCTTTGAGGATGGCGTGAAGTGCGGTCTTGATGGATCCAACGAGCCGCCCCCAGGCTTCGCCCATGTGGGGTGGCGCCGGCGGGTTGAACGACCATGTAATGCCGTCATGAGAAAGCTGGTCCTGGATGTGAGCTTCATTCAGCTCACGAATGGCCTGGCGGAGCTCTTTGGCGGCGCCTTTGAAGTTGGTTCCGTTGTCTGAGTGGATCACCAGTGGGCAGCCTCGCCTGCTGATGAATCGCCGGATGGCCATTAGCGTTGAGTCTGTGGACAGGTCGTGCGCCAGCTCCACGTGAACGGCTCGGGTGGCAAGACAGGTGAAGAGAGCGCCGTACCGCTTCTCATGAGTGCACCCAACAGTTACCGACAGCGGGCCAAAGTAGTCCAGTCCTGTCTGTGTGAAGGGTCGCTGAAAGGCGTCAGTGCGGCACTCTGGCAGGGCCGACATGATTGGTGGCTGCGGCTTGGCACGGAGATTCTTGCAATACTGGCACTCACTCCAGGTGCTTCTTACCGCTGCACGGATACCGGGTACCCAGTACTTCTGACGCAGCTCGTTCACTACGTGACCCTGTCCTTGATGTAACGACCAGACATGGTGTTGCTGTATGAGCAGCCTAGTGAAGGCATGCTTCGGCGGGAGCAATACAGGTTGGCGCAGGTTCTTGTTGTCAGCGTTTGCGTTCCGTACGCGGCTGTCAGAGCGCATGATGCCATTGTCGTCGATGAAGGGTGTCATCTGGACCAGGTGGCTGTCCTTGTCGACTGGCTTGCCCTTGCGGAGCGCAGCGAGTTCTTCGGGAAAGCCTTCCGCTTGTGCAGCTTTCCACCAAAGACTCTCTGCGGCTCGTAGCTCGGGGACTGTCAGCGACGGCTTGGCAGTGTCTCTTCCTCCGTGTCTCAGGCGGCGAGTGAAGCGTAGCACCCAGGCGGTTGCTCTTATCAGGCGACACCAGTTTGAGAAGCGCTCGATCTCTGATAGTGCTGCCTTCAGGCTGGGTGGCTCTGAGCTGTCTCCGGCTGCTGCGTGGACGCCACTGAACGCACGCTTCAGCTCGAGATCATCGGGGTCCGGCGCACGAGTCTCCTCGGCGGGCCAGTCTGCTTCGCCTTGCCTCAAATAGTCTGGGCCGCCAAACCAGCGATCGTCCGGCTGCAAGCGCTGGGCAGAGATACATCTGGAGAGGTCGTCGGCTGGGTTCAGTCTTGTTGGTACCCAGTGCCACTGATCTACTTCTGTTGTGTCTGTTATTTCCGCGATCTGGTGGGCCACAAATGGTTTGAATTGCCGGGCGTTCGAGCGTATCCACAACAGCACCGTTCTGGGGTCTGTCCAGAATATGACCCGTGGAATTGCGATACGCAGCTGCTCCCGTACGGTACAGGATAGGCGCGAGGCGAGGACCGCAGCCTGGAGTTCCAGATGGGGTATCGAGGCCGGTTTCAGTGGAGCAACGCGTGCCTTCGCTGCAACTAGGAAAACTGCCAGCTGAGTACCGTGGTTCGCTTTTCTCATGTACGCAGCGGCGCCGTATGCTTTCTCGCTTGCGTCAGCGAACACGTGCAGCTGGATTTCTGTAGCGACTGCAATCAACGGTGTGTAGCACCGTGGCACTTCGTCACTTCGGTCGCGGGTCGGTGGTTGTCCGTCGCGTTGAGCGAGTGGTCGCCTTATCCGAGCTGTTTTGAATGCGACTGTGTCCGTGACAAGGAAATGTGGTCGCCATGGTCGAGTGGTCGCCATATCCGAGTGGTCGCCATATCCGAGTGGTCGCCATTACAGGTTTTACTGTACAGAAACCGCGCCCACGAAAACACTGCAATTAACACGATCCTCACATTCCTTGCCCATTAGTAGCATAGCACAGCCAAAAACATTCCACCGATAATTCGATACTGTGACACCGTAACCTTGATCACCTAGGCCCAAAAGCCTAGCGATGTTTTCATTTCTCCAATGTTTTCCAGACATAACATGGGATTCGAACCTGCACTATCGCCCTGCATGCATCCCCACGGTATACTTCGCATGCATACACTTTCTTCCACGTTGCTTCACATTACGATCTTGCAGTTGAAAGCCCTATTTGAATAATGTGGCCAGCTGTCTTTCATGGTATGTTTCGGGACATGCACGGGATAGTGCCAGGCATGCCCGACGACACAACAAAACAATAACCGCATAAATTTTTCGCTTTTCTGTTAGGCCACACGTTTTTTTTTTTCTATGTTTCTCGTCACCCGCGCGCATACGATTCAGGAGTCTGGAAGAAAAAAGAAAAAGAAAAACTATGCTGCACTGACTGTGCATGTGAAGACCATCACACTCGTGCACATGTACATAATGTGGCCTGGCCTGCGCGACACATGATGCGAGGCCGGCATGTTTTGTGAGCAATCTAGCTGCACATGCACAGATTGTGATAGAAGCTCCTACCACATACTAGTTGCTAACAATGGATGCTATTTTGCATGGTGTATTGGTGTATTGGTGTATTGGTGTATTGGTGGATTTTAGTGTGAACAAAGGTAGTAATTTATTTTTTATTTTTGGGTCATTTTATATTTTTTCCACCTCTCGCATACGTTTTTAGATTTTCAGGTGACGAGAAACATAGAAATAAAAACGGGTGGCCTTATAATTAAAAAAGAGAGGAGTACAAGTTTACAAGGGATCCGTTTCGTTCAACACTAACGCTTCGAAGCAGGATACTGTTGAGTCGAAATGTGCAACAATTAGCACTGAACCGACCGATGTGATTGGCTGATATTCCACAACATGATGCTTATGTTACTTCAGGAATTAGTTACTTCATAGCTTGGGGCATTCCAAGTTGGAAGGCTGTTGTTGGTTTGCGCATTCCAGACGTGATGCAGCTAAGCATGTCAGTATCACATCAGTCAGTTTTGTGCCAGTTGTTGCACATTTTCGCTCAACAGGACCCTGCATATGATCGTTAGTGTTGGACGAAATGGATAACTTGTAAGCTTATAGTCCTCTCTTTTTCAATTTTAATCCTTGGCTCTCCATCCAAGTTTTTCTGTTACATGTTGAGACTCACGGCACGCATGCACGCGTGCAGGCAAAACAGAAGTCGAAGTCCTTGTTCGCACGAGGGACTCGAGATTATCAGAATGAGATGATGAGGTGGAGAGAAGAGATTGAGAGAATTGAGATCGAGAGCGATATAAAGGATCAGACACGAGGTTGCCGAGGGCCTGGAAAGCTATGGCAACGAATGTACGAAAGCTACCCAGGCCAAACGGCCAAACGAAATAACACTATGAGGTAATGCGGAAATATGAGAGTGCCGGAGCGAGAAGTGGGAATGGAAACAAGGTGCATGCAGTAATGTGTGTATGAGTGCATATGTACGTGCATATATGGGGAGAGGTCATTGGTGTGCGAGTGCGTACATGCATGAAATCGTGAACCTAGCATGAGTCCAGACTCAACTCATGCACAGCATCTAAAAGCCGCGAAGTCTGTTTCACGCTCGCGCGGGAAATGGCACATGCTACATGCATAACATAACACAATGTACTACTATCATGAATATCTGGAGTGGCCAAGGAATGCCACAGCGCGTGTGTAGATGGGAACACTACACATATATATATATATATATATATATATATATATTATATGCTGTTTGCGTTATGCAGAGCTCACTGACTTGTCAGTTTGAGCACTCTGGCAAGGTACGTTCGGGCCTGATTGGAAATGTTTATTTCCATTGCTATCAGGTTCGGCCTCATTTTCTCTGTGCTGCGCTGATGAGTTCAAAAAGAACGAAACAGCATGCTGTCCGCAGATTGAGTATTTCGCTCCTGCTCTTGTAGCTGTTGAGCACTCTTGCGTGGGGTAGTGCCTTTGCTGTTTGCGTTATGCAGAGCTCACTGACTTGTCAGTTTGAGCACTCTGGCAAGGTACGTTCGGGCCTGATTGGAAATGTCTATTTCCATTGCTATCAGGTTCGGCCTCATTTTCTCTGTGCTGCGCTGATGAGTTCAAAAAGAACGAAACAGCATGCTGTCCGCAGATTGAGTATTTCGCTCCTGCTCTTGTAGCTGTTGAGCACTCTTGCGTGGGGTAGTGCCTTTGCTGTTTGCGTTATGCAGAGCTCACTGACTTGTCAGTTTGAGCACTCTGGCAAGGTACGTTCGGGCCTGATTGGAAATGTTTATTTCCATTGCTATCAGGTTCGGCCTCATTTTCTCTGTGCTGCGCTGATGAGTTCAAAAAGAACGAAACAGCATGCTGTCCGCAGATTGAGTATATATATATATATATATATATATATATACTGGAAATTTATATATATATATATATACTGGAAATTTTTATTTCCATTGCTATCAGGTTCGGCCTCATTTCCTCTGTGCTGCGCTGATGAGTTCACAAAGAACGAAACAGCATGCTGTCCGCAGATTGAGTATTTTCGCTCCTGCTCTTGTAGTAGTTGAGCACTCTCATGTGGGGTAGTGCCTTTGCTGTTTGCATTATGCAGAGCTCACTGACTTGTCAGTTTGAGCACTCTGGCAAGGTACGTTCGGGCCTGATTGGAAATTTTTATTTCCATTGCTATCAGGTTCGGCCTCATTTCCTCTGTGCTGCGCTGATGAGTTCACAAAGAACGAAACAGCATGCTGTCCGCAGATTGAGTATATATATATATATATTAACTGGTTTTGAGGGAAAGAGACAAACGGGAAAAGTCTGAAGAAAAAATCGACTGTCACCACCAGGACTCGAACCAGGGACCCTCGCTTGTAGCCAGCGATGCTCTAACCACTGAGCTATGGTGTAGTCGTCATCCAAGCAGAGACCGTTCAACGTTTTCTTCAGACTTCGTAACTCACACTTCCTGTGAATCCACACAGGCGGGTATTGTTGCCTTTCTGCTCCAAACAGGAACTACATTTCTCGATGATTGCCTAAAAGCAACACTCTCCATTCTTTTATACTCATATCATCTTCCTTTCCCTTTTCAAACTCTGTCATGTTGCAGCATGCAAACGTGATCGTCAAGATCCAGATCACATTCATGATATCTCTGTCCATGGAATGGTTACGTGTCAGGTCGGGTATGAGTACTGGTTTTATCAGCCAGTATGCTCGGGTAATTCAGGCTCGCAGTATGTTTATTCATGCACTAGTAAGTCTTGTAATGTTTAGAGAAGAAATTACATTGGGTACATGGCCTTACAAATAGGCGATGTGTGTATAACAATTTTAATGACAGCAATACCCAATGCTGTGGACAGCAAGCTGTTTCGGCCATAACGGCCTCATCAGTACAGCTACGAGCTAAGTAATAATAGTAATAACTTTATTAGGATAGGCCGAGCTACCAGCCATGGGGCAAAGGAGGCACCACAGACATTAAGATAGCTCGTCGCTCTACCGACAGAGTGCTCAAACTACAAAAAGGTAGCGGGCATTGCGCGATGCAGCACCGCTAGAGCAGCCAATAAATAATTTGGGCCATCCAAAGTAAAAAGAGACCACACGGGTCATTGTTTATAGAAAAGAGTTGTGATTAATGGGTTTAGCCACTCGCTGTGTTGGTGCAAGTTGGTGATTGTGCTTCGCTTTGCTCGTAAAACAGGCTTTCGTGTGTTGTGATTAATGAATTTGTTCACATGGCCTTAGCAGTATTTTGAGACTGATATGGCAAGTAGGACATTCTTTAAAAATTACATAAGTATGTTATGTTGTAAAAGGAGGTCGGAGGCTGACAACAATTTCCAAACGAAGGTTTGTTCGCAAGCATTCACGCAATTTTCACATCCAGTCAACACAGCACTGCTCATATATTATCGAACATTTTCGTTCCCTTCTCATTAACAAGGAAAATACAGAGAATGGCTGAATTTGAAAATAACTAAAACTTTAAAAGGGTAAAGATCAAGATAAAAACACTCGTGAGTCGTGACAAGGTGGTAGTTTATCAAGTTTTTGAAACAGAAATAAAAATAAAAATGACACCAACAAAGTGTGCAAACTCGTGAGCACAAGTGCTTTGCATTTACCCACTACAGAAGCTCTGTACGTTTATTTTAATTATTTTGTTCCAAGCAATACATGGCTGGGGTAGCCATTGATCACTTTGCGTGGCGATTGCAAGGTTTTTATAGCCAACCACGGCTAACAAGGAAAAGAGTAAGAAGTCAAAAAGAAAAAAAGGAAAAAGAGAAAGTACCAAATATGGACTATAATAGCAAATATGGACTAACCTTGTGGTCTAAAGCAAGGAGTCCCGGAGTGCTATTAAGAGAGCATGTCTGAGAAAACCAGGCTGAAACTTTTATTGCGGAGTCTGTTACGAAATCTCAGCCATTCCGTTTCCGGGACGCAGGACACAAAGGACAAGACTAGTTTGGTTAGCATAATATATTTGGACATTACGGAAAACTAGACTACTCTGACAGAGACGAACAAGAAGACTGACAAAAGGACTCACGACTACAAAATCGCACATGCTCATAGCACACATGCACGCGACTAGACGAGACAGTTTGGGGAATGCCATCACACAGGAAAACAACACATCATTTCATAATACCTGCCCTCTTGATGATATTCCACAAAATAGTAAACCGATACCAAGTTCCACATGCACAACAGCAAAAGAAACCACAGCAACAGCGAAAAACCAAAACCAGCTTACATTGAAGCACAAGCTAACAACAAGCCAACAGAACCCAGAGACAACGCTCTAAAGAAAAACGGGCCACGAC